CGATAGTTGATCTTAAAATGACTAATAACTGTACCGATCGTCAGCTGCTCAAGTAGCGGTGAGTACAGGAGTGTGAGGCTGCGAAAGAGGAGGAAAAAAATAATAAGGAATAGTACGTTGGCTGTGACTTTTTTCATAAAATAATATATCTTAATATATATAAATCTCGTGTCACAATGTTTGTCCTCAATGGACTCCTAAACCACTGAACCGATTATAATAAAATTCGCACACCATGTGCAGTTCGATCCAACTTGAGAGATAGGATAGTTTAAATCTCAAATTATAGTCGCAATCAATCTTAATTTATTGCAAATTATTACTTTTGGGCGGTACGAAGTTCGCCGAGTCAGCTAGTTACTTTATAGAAATTCAATTTTTGGACTTGTTTGACAAAATAATCGATACGCCAGTACAAATTTCTTGTTATTGCGGGCTAGACCGTGCCGCGCAAACGTATGAGAATTCTAACGTTCCAGATTTAGCAGTATCTATACCTACATGATAAGTGGTGATGATACGATGATACGATTAAGGATGCATTTAGTCATGGCATAATGAATCTGTACTTACTGAGACGATCTTTTCTGGACTGGACATTTATTTACTTTCTGATCATATTTTTTGGTATGTGTACTTGACACAAACAATCAACATTGTGCAAATCTCATATCAAAGTGTACGAGATTTCTATTTACCTCGTGCCATGTATAGATACTGCTAAATCTCTAACGTTACAGTTCTCATACATTTGGCAACCCCCGGCAATTTGGGGGGCTCCTCCCGTGCCTACACAGATCGTCGGATAGCACCTTTAGACTGCATTTGTGTGCGGGAATATCTGGAATATGCAAAACGTGGCAGAATGGCAGATTCAGTAGCAGATTTCAGTAGTCAGTGGCCTCGCGCAACAACCCAAGCAAATTTTAAAAAATATTTTTGTTTTAACTATTTTTTTTATCTAAAGAAAAGTTTACTAGAAAAAAATCCACGCGGACCAGGCAGCGGACGGATAAAAAATAAATAAAATCATAACTATAATTGCTATTTCTTCTTTCAAATATTTAATACTTGAAAAAGTATTGATTTGACATTGTGGGTTACCTACAATGCGAAGAGATGGCGCTGCCTTGCAGCTTAAGGCTAGGAAAATTTCGACGCGGCTAATAGGACCGTGGTAGCATAATGGAAAATAGTGCATTCGCCCGGATAGCGAAGGATGCGGGTTCGAGTCCCGTCCGCTGCCTGGTCCGCGTGGATTTTTTTCTAGTAAACTTTTCTTTAGATTTAAACATCTAGCAGTTAAATGCTATAAAAATAAATAAAATCATATTTTTTTTATTTAAAACTTTTGATTTTGATCAATAATTACTTATTAAGGTTATAACATAACCGTAAATTAAAATTAAGTTAGTTAACTGATTCATTCATTCAAAACATATTTGAAAAATTCATTATGTACAAACACTAAAAACGTTTTAAAATCGAGACAATGTTAATCAAATGGGTGACGTCATATTAAAACGATTTTATTGTTTTAAAATATAACACTAAAATTTACAGTGCACTGAGAGATTTTTTTCGATAACCGTAAGTACAAAAAATGACAAGTCCGGGATTCGAAGTTTATAAGTACAAATGTGTGTAAACAGAAGTAAACTTTGGGTTATTGTAACCATAAGATGTACTTTATTCTATACTTTTCTTAATCTTAGTACAGTTTTACTTATCATAACCCAAAATTAACTACGATCTACGTACATTTTCACTTGTTAACTTCGAATCTCGGACTTGTCATTGTTTTGTGCTTGCGGTTATCGAAAAAAATCTCTCAGTGTAGTACCTACTTGAATATCGCGCCTCGAAACACTTGAAGAACGGTTTTTTAATCGCATAACACTCGTGAGTCGGGACATAATGTTCTGCTCTTCTATCGCTCGGGAAATCCCCGTGTTTCATTTCATTTGTTAACTTTTGTCACCTTGGAATTATTTTACTTAAAGTATGAGTTACAAAATCGTTACCGTACATATCTTTCAATTTTATTGGATATTACGTTCTTATAGTATTGAAAGTATTGAGTGAGCTGGAAAAGTGTAAATTATAGTATTTGAAGTATTGAGAAAACTGAAAAAGTGTAAAAAAACTGTGTGGTACTTAAAAATTTATTTCTGACTGTTTGAGCGGAACAAAACAAGATTTACGAAATGAGTTCGCGTGATCGTGATGCCGGTAGATAATTTGAGTCAGGGAGTTCAAAAAGGAAACGAGCTATCAAAAGAAAGCTGGTAGAAGAAAATCTGCGTGGATCTTTTTATAAATATATAAAAAGTGATGATAAAGAAACATCTACAAAACATTTATTGACTAAAAGTGACTCTTATCCTGATCCAGCTGAAAACATTCCTTCCACATCATCACGGGTGCCGCCGCCGTCATTAAGAAAAACAGCGAGGATGATGATGAATTAACTACATCATTGTCTCTTAGGTCACCGATGCCACCATCAACGCTATCCAGTCAAGAACAGAAATCTGAGCCCGAGTCTATGTCTACATCCATGACTGCTGGAACGGAAAATCTGAATCCTCAAAATGACCCCGGTTTGTGGCCCATAACAATTACTGCAGTGTGACCATATGTGGCAGGATTCTGCCGTTTTGGCAGGTTTAGCCCTTTATTTTACTCTGTGGCATATTTGTTTGACGTTTTAGAAATCTGGCAGTATTTGGCAGTTAATAGCAATTTAAGCTTTTTTTATTTATTTAAATGAGTAGGGTATGGATCGACAAAAGAAAAAACAGTAGATAGGAATTTTATAATGCCAATGACAACATTGGCTACGATACCTTTGTTTCGGGGATTTCCCATATCATATTCGAATCTCTAGTCGAATTTGTAATGCATTCCATTGTACACCTTAAAGTGTGGGAGCATAATGTTTATATTACCTTTATTTTTATTTTTCAGCTGTTTATGTAATTAGTCGGACTAGAAAAACTGTCGGAGTAATAATTTTGTTTTGTTTCTGATTTCGTGCGGTGTGTGTAAATGTTTACCATAATACCATGAAACATAAATATGAACGACTAGCTGACCCAGCGAACTTCGTACCGCCCTAAAAAAATAGGGGTTGTCCAGCGGACAAAATTGTGAATCTAAACCATTCTCAGATCCCCTTGAACACACACAATAAATTTCATCAAAATCGGTCCAGTCGTTTAAGAGAAGTTCAGTGACATACACACTCACAGAAGAATTATATATATAAAGACTAGCAAACCCAGCGAACTCCGTTTCGCCACCAGATAGCTTCGTTTTATGTAACATATCGTTTTGTGATTAAAAGAAAACGATTTTTTTTTGAAATTTTTCCTGAATTTTGTTTGCTATAAACCTCACGGAGCCCGAGACCTTTCCAACGAATGCAAAACCGTGGAAATCGGTTCGTGCGTTCTGGAGTTATAGCGTCAGGAAGGAAAACCCCACTTATTTTTATATAGTAGATTATATCGCGTAGAGTGGGAGCTTGATCCATTACTTTCGTTGTGGTTATCAAAAGCGAAAGATGAAGATGTTGCATGGTGTAAAGCATGGAACACTAAGTTGGTGCCTAGGTTATCTATTATTAAAGAACATGCAACCACTACTAAGCATACGAATGTGAATGTCATAAAAAGGACAGATCAGCGTTGTCGATCTATATTGGCATTATTTCGGCATTTTGTGCATACAATTTTGGCAGGATTTATCAGTTTTTTTGCCTAAGCAGGGCAGGATCTCTAATTTAAGGTTGGTCACACTGAATTACTGATGTAGACCGAACTGAGATTGTATTAAAAGGTCCAATCCGGGTTAAAGTTGATTTATTTCCTGTAAATGATAATGTTAATTTTGTGAATCTTTCAATGTAAAATATTTTAAAATTCAAATTTGATTTATTTGTATAATTTAAGCATTTTTCCTTAAACATGACAAATACCGTAACCAAACAACCAGACCTACTTTCGCATCACATACTTTTCACGAAGGACAACGGGCCTCGCAAAGACCTGCCGCCCGGAGCCTCGCAACGGGTAAGGCCGCCTCTGTCAGTAGTATTGTGTCACTATCCTACTCCCCGCCTGGCCGCGTCGGCTGCGTTGCTCTATGGCGTTAATAGAATGCCACAGCATCCGCATTGATTCGTTCATAGTGGATATTGTGAAATAAAATTGGTCTGATTTTGTGCTACAACCGTCTACGCAGCTGAAGAATTAGTGGAATCTTTAAAATATACGCTGTTCCGGTCAAGTGGACGTGAGAACTTTATTGTAGTGTTGACTACTTCACAGAAGTTTACCGGAAAAGCCAACTCGATACATATCGTGCCAAACACTCCACGAAACATTAAATTGAGTCACACTGCCATTCTGATCTAAAAAAACAAAGATTAATAAAATTAAAGACTTGGCTGTATGGCATTGTTTCTTTCGCCTTCCCTTAAAAGGGTAATCTTAAAAAAATAACGTCAACAAATAACACGGTTCCCAACTTAGGGGTTTTGCCCCCAGATTTAGGGGCTAGAAGTGTTAAAACGGACTTTTTTAGGGGCTGGAATTTTTTGGGGGATCTTTTAGGGACCAAAACTTTCAATTAAATCGAAAAAGAAAGGGTGTGTTTTCTTTCAGCTTTGTGCGTAGAATGGAATGCACCACGATATGAAATGACTGAAGTGACTGTGTGGCGGGTTGTTTCCTAAGGCTGTATGGACTAAAGTTAAAAAACAGCTAAATAAGATTTAAAAGCCTGTCAGCTCATTTTCGTTTGATTGTCCTTTGGGAAACTGTATTTATTCAATAAAATAATTTTCTGTAACTAAATAAGTAACGTTTTAATTAAGGAGCAACGAAAGAATTTAGGTAATAAGTAGATACATATAAAATTTTATATTAAGGGATTTTAGGGGAATTTAAAAAATACTTAGGGGAAAATTTTGGTAAGGGTTGGTAACACTGACAAATAACCCTACTCTGTGATAAGCTATGAATAAAATAAAACAATTTGGGTTTTTTCGAGTGTTTTTCATGTTTCAAAGCGATGAAGGATTAAAATATAAAAAATTGATTTTAGCTGAAGCTTCTCTTAATCATCTATATGAGTCACACTAATAATTTTCTTTTATTAACATTAATAGAAAAATCGAAAACCTAGCTTGTGATCAATGTTTTGAATTAGGTACAACGGCAAAAAGATTAAATAACTACATAAACTACTAAAAGATTAGTGCTAAAAATGGGTAAACTGAATAACTCCTTTCTTTGGGGAATTCTCATAGCATCGGCAACTTGGAGTATATCATTATATCTCTACTGGCTTCTTAACATGGGCGGTAAGTATTGTCTGCGATTGATTGTATTTATTGAAAACATTAAGCTGTGTATCAGCTTAGAGAGCCTTAATTCGTCAGTTAACTAATAGAAAAAAATACATTCACACCACTTATCTCTTGAGGTTTGATAGTAAAGCTTCAAATATGTGGCAGCATGAAACAATTATCTAAAATAACATCGCTCCCATATTTCGCATTAATTGTGTCTAGGATATCTTAGAAACCAACATATTTCCTATACCTGTTTCTGAATATCCATTGAAAGACAATTCTATCAAAATTGCACTGCAATATTGATAGTTGGGTGTTTGTAGCTGGTTTTTTGGCTCATAATATTTATCATTGAAACATAGCTGATTTACTTTAGTTTCCAGAGTTAGAAATAAAAACATTAGAAATGATAATGGTAAATTATTTGTAATAAGTAGTTTTTTAAAATAACTCATTAGAAATAGCTTCAATATACCTAACCCAACATTCAAGTAATTTCTATTCAAGTTGCAATCCAAGAAGTACTGTGACCTTAAAGTAGTCACCTGCTGTAAAATTTACATTATTCATTTAAGATTCAATTATATTTATGATTATCGTTCATTCATGATGAAATTCACAAACTTTTCCACTGGTTTTAGGTAACAGTAAATTAGGCAATATAAACAGCAAAATGCATTATCGCTTGGTGAATTCAGATGAGAAAGATAGAATAAAAAACAATGACAAATCTATTGCAGCACTAGAAGGCAAGAATTTGCTTGATGATAGCCCAAGAGTATATGATAGATTTTCTGCAAACAAATGGAAGGCATTTAAAAGTCGCTCTGATTATCAACGAAAAATTATGCTAAAAGAAAAGTTTGCAAAGCAGTTAGGAATGAAGTTGTCAGCTAAACCAGATAAAAGCCTAGGTAAGTATTAATTATGTTTAAATTATTGGCATTTTAAACTTTTGGGCAGGAAACACTTAATTTTTTAATATTGGACTGAACAAAGACCTGCAATTTAAGGTCACTTCTTAAAATATGAAATAATTTTAGATAACCAAATTGGATTGATACATAATGCTGAAGACGTGAGAATACGAGAGAAAGGTTATAATTTACATGCTTTCAATACTCTTATATCACAACGTATTGGAAACCACAGAGGTTTGCCTGATACAAGAAATAAATTGTAAGTGACATATATTTTTTCCTTTAAATTCTACTTATTTTACTTTAGAATATATATTTATGATGTTTGAAGCTTTTTCTTAATATCCATAAAGTCATATGTTTGAAAGACACAGTTTCAGAAAACACAATTTTTTAATTAGATTGTCAGTGGTGTCTTCTTAATGATTCTCTAAATTTAAATCTAATTTAACATCAGTCTTTCCTTTTCATCCTGTATAGAGAATGACAAAGATATACTGTTGTCAAATTAATTTTAGGTTTAGAGAATCATGCTAGAATCAACACCAAAAAACAATATTTTTAATGGGATAAGTCAGATCTTAGTGTGAGCATCAAGCAAGTAATTGTTTTAGATTATAGCTTGGTATTACTGGGTATCCTTAGGACATAACTGCTATCGTGGGTAGGACTAGCAAGGCTGGCAGGAGCTAGAAGTGGATTTTCATTTAGCGATCACAGTATGGCTATAGGATTGGAAAAGAAGATGCTGCTTGCCCTCTGCTGGCTTAGTTCCTGTAGTCAAGAGGGGTGGGTATTCTTGCACATACACCCAGTACAATGATGTACATGACACTAGCTTTATAAAAGAAAATGAGCGAGTCTTATAGTAGTCGCGTATGATGTGTAACATTTGAAACCTCACCTTATATTAATAAAAAAAAAGACCTCCTACAAAAGGAATAAGCCATTTGAACATTATGTTCTAAAATCAAATAGAGTGCGCTTTCGCGACTTCCTGTTACCTACTTCCGTCCCATTTCATAAAGTCACTCTCACAAATTGCAGGAAAGCGAGAAGAAAGATGTTACACATCAAAAAAACTTGTTTAATCCTTATAAGTATGTTTATTGTAGATGCCGATTACAAAAATATGCAGACAAGCTTCCAAGAGCTTCAATTATAATTTGTTTCTACAATGAACATTATGAAACTTTAATGAGATCTATTCATTCAATTTTGGATCGCACTGATGCAAAATATTTAAAGGAAATTATTCTTGTTGATGACTTTAGTGATATTGAAGGTTTATACAATGATGTAGCAAATGAAATAAATGATTTAAACAATAGAATGCGTAAGGAGGAAGAAATGATTGAGACTAATATTGTAGATGATAATGTTGTTGATTATATAAATGATGACAATAATGTAGAAAAGAAAACCACAGATAAGAATTATAGCAAATTGTCCAAAAATGGTTTGAACATAAGATTGTTAAGAACGAGCAAGAGAGAGGGTCTTATTCGTGCCAGATTGTATGGAGCCGATAATAGTGTGGGTGAGGTAAGTCTAGTTGGATGTACCCAGACACCTGCTTGCTTATGTTAGCATACCATCCAAGATATGTTCCTGTCTTAAAATTTGAAACTAAACATGTTTGAAAAATATTATTTTTTCTATTGTTATATAATCTGCAATCAGAATATAACTACTTTAAGCAGATATGTTATGAAAGTAGTCGATCATGGAACATCCCCCAGCGTAGATGTCCACATAACTTTATCATTACTCTTTCAGTCTCATTTGCGCAGCTACTAAATGTCCTTTCGTTTGATGTAATTTTTTTAGCTAGTTAGACTCCTCATACTGCAATTCATTTTGTATTCCCTCCTTCACTATAGGGATTTTAAGTTTGTCCTTAATTTCTCGCTGTTAGTGACTAGCCATGGAACCTGAGATATATTGTTCTGAGTACAACATTCTGCATTCGCTGGAGTATTGCTATATTAGAATTACAGGGAAAAGTAACATAGTATTGTTTTTTCTATATTACTTACCCTGTTTTAATAGTTTCTCATTGATATGAGAAACAATTATTGATTGGTTTACTTACATACTCCTAAACTAAGAGTTGAATTATTCTGACTTTAATAATATTAATCACCTGTAATTTTTATTTTCCAGGTGTTAATCTTCCTGGATTCACACATAGAAGTAAATGTAGATTGGTTACCACCACTTCTGACACGTCTAGCAGAAGGAGTGGATGGTATCAACGTGCGCTATTCTCAACGGGCTGTGATGCCCATAATTGATGTAATCAATTCAGATACATTTGAGTACAGTGCTAGCCCATTAGTGCGTGGAGGATTCAATTGGGGGCTCCACTTCAAATGGGATAATTTGCCAAAGGGAACATTAAAAAGTATGCATTCTTATAGAAAAATATATTATTTTCATCTTTCCTTTTGAAAAATAATGTGTGTCTGTGCAATGTTTATATTTTCTTATAGATGATGAAGACTTTGTGAAACCAATCAAATCTCCAACAATGGCAGGTGGTTTGTTTGCTATCTATCGCGAGTATTTCAATTATGTTGGTAAATATGATGCTGGTATGCATATATGGGGGGGAGAAAACTTGGAGATCTCATTCAGGGTAAGAAATCTGTCTATGATACATATCTCAACTGTTTTTTAAACTATAGTAACCTACAATGCGAAGAGATGGCGTAAATGATGGGATATAGTAAATTCTTTGAAATGGAAAAGTTAACATAATTATAATAGTACCTATGTTGCAACAAATATTGCATAATAGGGAATATGCATGATTTTATATGCGAAAGAATATAGACCTTATTTCTTTGACTCTACGCGCAATTCTGAATGCCCTGTTAGCAATAATGACGGACCGCGAGGAAAAGAGACGGCTATATAACCGACCATGCATTTGAATATCACAAAAATATTTTCTATTATATCAGTTTATAGTAAGTATTAGAACAAAATTTGCTTCAAATGCCTTAAATCAACAAACATTGATTTGATACCTGTGGAAAAAACGACACTTTACATATTACAAGTTTTTTTTTCGCGTTATTACATATATATGTTATGGGCTAAGTGATTAATCGGGATTTATTAATAATGCCCGAGCAATATGAATAGTGCACAATAAGAGCAGGCAATGTGATAATAACCAAACAATTTATCACATTGCCTGGGCATTATGAATAATGCCCAGTGCCTATTAGGCAGAGCACAGAACACAGAAAGAGGCTAGAATGGCCTTGTGGGCGGGGCAGGCGCGTCACAGTTATGAGCAAATGCTCATAACTTGACCGTAACGTCCGATCGGGTCGTTTAGTTGCCCGCGAACGCTCAGTGAGAGAGTATTGTGATTACCGCTTAAAATATGCCTTCGTGTGCCGTTTTAATTACATACAAAGTAAGGAGTCAATCATCAAATCTACCTAAAGCAGGAATTTCTTTTCATCGGTAAGTATCAAACTTCTTAGTTAGACTGATATTTTAGCAAAAATTCGATAAATATTAATTAAACGATAAATCACATATATATTTCCGCAAAAATATTCATTGCTGACAAAGTACGCTCGCTATTCTTTTTACGACATTCAAAACACGTAATGTAGTACGATTCAATCAAGAAGGACCCGTGGATCACAGAGTGCTGCACGTGGCCGCACGCAGTACAAGGACATCGCACCTACTTTAGTGGTGTGTTGCGTCGTACATTTTACATTTTCGATAGATTTTATCGACTGAATTTTAGCACCTAATAATGGAATTAAAGTAAGTTTTAGAAACAAATAAAAGCTGATTGTAAATGTTTATCATACTTAATATTATAAAGGCGAAAGTTTGTGAGTGTGTATGTTTGTTACTTCTTCACGTCTAAACGGCTGGAGCGATTTTAATAAAATTTGGTATGGAGTTAGCTGACACCCTGGATTAACACATAGGCTACGTTTTACTGCGTGAAAATATCCCTAATAAACCGCAGGGAACACCGCAAGGCACAGCTTGTACAATATAAATATAAAGCTGAAGAGTTGGTTTATAGTCCAGTCAAAATAGACATTTGACCTAGGAATAATTCGCATAGAACTGACAAATGGCAGAGACGTTAAATACATCATTATAAATAAAATGTCTAAAACCCCCTTCTTCTGCAAAAAAAAATTAACTCAAACGTACAAAATTATGGGTTCTCCATTTTGCTCGAAAACGGTAAGTTTTGTCGTGAAAGTAGGTCAGACAAACGCTGTAGACAATACAACTTTCTACAAAAATTAGAAAATTCATTTTTTACATAATATGCACACATTTCTGCACCACCGATGAGGTAATGTACTTGGCGGATTTTTTTCAAAGTGTTTTCCCCAGTAGGTATACTCCACGATGTACGTATTGTAATAAAGAAAGTTTGATCAGATCGTATCCTATTGATTGATAGAATGGTTATATTGCTAATGATCAAAGTGGAATAAGTTGTTTTCTTCTAAATGTTATTATATTAGATAATTATTATTGTCTAATTCTTCTCCGAAAATTATTTCTTCGTCTTCATTTTCTTCTTCTTGCAGATTTTCTATTCACTGTTCTAAGAAAATGGATGCAACAATTGTCTCTTCATTAATATCATAAATATTTTCATCTGTTGTATTTTTTCAATATTGGAGCAAATCTGACCCTGACAATTGATGCATACTGGCGAAAAAAATAATCCCATTTTATGACAGCCACAATTCTTACTACAATCCGTCTTGCATTTACAAAAAATAGGATTAAGCAGTTTTTCTGCAGCAAGCGGGAGTAGAGAATTGGCTCCAAATAATTATCTGTTTATTTCCAACCCCATCCTTCTGGGTCCAGCTCATTGCCTAGACACACTTGAACTTGATAATACACACGATACAAGTGTTGAAAGGCAGAAGCAGATGTTGGACTGTTTTATTGTTCCATCCAGATTTATATCCCATAGTAGGTCTCAGAAAGATATTATTACAGTTATTGTGATACTTAGCTTTACCAGCAACTGAGTCATACTCAATATGTAAAATATGAATTTTCTAATTATTAAAACAGAGTTATCTCACGAATGATCTGTCTTTAGAGAAAAAGTGACTGGACCAGTTTTGTAGAGAATTGTATGATCTACGACTTTTGTTAGACCTATTTTCACAATAAAACTTATCGTTTTCGAGAAAAATGGAAAAAAACATAATTTTGTAAGTTCGACTTTGAATTTTTTTTTTGCAGAAGTAGGATCGAAGGTGATTTTCGTCATTTTATTTATAATGATGTATTTAAAGTCTCTGCCAATTTTCAGCTCTATGCGAATTATCCCTAAGTTATGACTTATTTTTGGCTATTTTGACTGGACTATCGAGAGAATTAACTTGTCCACACAGTCAATAGAAAGAGCATGTAAAGAGCCATTTGAAAACGAAGAGGATGAAGATGAAGATTTTACTGATTTTAGTACACAAGTCATTGCCTACATAGCAGGCAATGTGGTTCATATCCTAATTTAAAAAATCAAATGCGATATTTGCCCTAGTGCCCTAATATCAGATTCAAGTAATAATTAACATAAATTTATTTCGTTAAAAGATAAAGGTGGCCTGATATATCCGTCCGTGGTGATGTTATAAAAATATGCAAAGGTGCAGAAACTGTAATACAGATATGAGATAATTTTCAGATAATTTGAAAAATGTCAAAAAAGAAAATTTAGTCCCAAAAATATAAAAAAAGTTTATTGGCACTTCATTATTTGACATTTCATTTCATCAAGTCGGTGAATTCCCATTATCTAACCACGTAACAGATTCAATTAAAGTGGTAATTGAAAAATATATAAATATACGTCTATATTTCTTTTGAAAAATAACTTTAAAAAATAAACAAAGCGTCATCTTTTTCATAAATATATATTGTTTCAAGGTCAATAAATAAAACTATCTGTAGTAATGCGTTTTACATTAAATCATTTTCTTTATCTTTACTGACTTTGACAGGATACAAAAAATTCAATACAATCAAGTCAAGTCCAACTCGCACTTGGCATATTTAATATCGTTAATATTTCATCGACTCAGTGTCAACCAATAGCGCTAAAATCGGTGTGAACGAATGAACGCTCACAGTCACGGCTCTGAGCGCTGATTCGTTCGGTTGCTTGATGTCGCGTCGTTTGATTGGCTTATCTTATTTATCTATTAGGTGGAAGTGTAGTGGGGACGAGATGGCGACATCGGTTCTCATACTGGCGATCGCTTATCACCCTTCTAACCTCTTTCTGTGTTCTGTGGGGCAGAGTGATGTAAAGCATGTTTAATACTTTCAAATGAATACTTAGTTAGATAGACCGAGCATTACAAGTAATGAAATCAATTATCGGGTAGAGTAATAATAAAATCATGATTTATAGTTTAGTATTTATTTTTAATATTTAAATAATCAGACTTCGGTATAACTTCGATCAATTTACGAAGGGCTACATTATGAAACTATAGTCTATAGTAGTTTCAATGCAGTTTGTTTAAAAAAATCCATTTAATATGTTAAATGTTCAGAATTTAGGGTTCCCTATTTTTTAGGATGCAAGGACTAGGGAAGTAAGAACCAGTAGTTCTGCCTTATCTCCGGCGCTGCGGGAATAGCAGTCCCTCCGCCTTTGCGTGACAAAGTCACAAGCAACACTCCCCTTCACACCTTCGGCTTGTTGGTCGTCACCTCCGGCGGCGACCAGCCTCAGGTGCTACGGGTCGCACGATGCTTGCGTCTTTGTCACAGCAGCCGGGGGCTGCTCTCCCTCCGCGCCTCCGGGCTCTAAAAACACTCTAGAGGTAGGACAGACCAAGACCACGGCGTGTCAGGGTTGACCAAGTCGGTTCTGAAATAAAGACTGTTATAAAGCCACATTTACCTTTTTTTCTAAGTGTTGAGTCCATACTATTTTTTATTTACCAAGATCTCAAAACAAACACAAAATGGCGAGACATCTGTCATTTTGACAATAGCACCAACATTTTGTATTTATACTGCCCGGTCCAAGCGATAAATTCAAGCTATGTCAATCACTGACTTATTTCATGGGCCACGAGTCGTCCGGAATTATTAATAATGGCCGGGCAATGTGATAAATAGGTGAGTTAAGATTGTAATTAATCACTTGGCCCGATATGGCTGGGCATTATTCATACTGCACTGGCTATATGAATACTGCCCGCATTAATCACTTGGCCCATAACATACACGGAGCTCTGCGGTATGTTGACTTTTCAACGGTATGCGCGTGACTGTGAACCAAGAAGTGCTTGAGTGGAGTTCAAGCACTTCTTGTTTGGGACACATTTGGAGCTGACGTGGTGTATCTAGGGTATTTAATATCGTTGTTGGTATTTTAATGCAATGGTTTTCTATCACTTTTTCAAGTCTCAAAGGCAGAAACGTTTTTGTACAACATTAATTTAAATGTAGTCAATGTCCTTTAAATATACATTTTGGAGCGTAAATAAGAAATAAAGCGAAGTTGCTCTGTATGGGGAACCAAAAAGTTGTTGTGTGCAAGTATAGTCACCCTGCTAGTAGATGATTATTTCTTTAATTTCCAAAAATAGCTTCGTTTTATAATATGTGGTACTAACTAAGAATGAAGCTAAATTTGTAACAGTGTTTTTCTCTGTATTAACATGTCGATAAAATACTCATATATAATAATAGCGGCCGCCCGCGACTTCGTACGCGTGGAGTTAGTTAGAAATAAAGGTTCACTGCTCGTTCTTCGTAGGCCGTAGGTGATAGCGTGATAATATGTAGCCTATATGTTGACCTGACTGCTTAATAATATTTGTGCCAAATTTGAAGTAAATCCATGCAGTACTTTTTGAGTTTATCCCGGAGATACATACAGACAAACAGCCAAAAATTCTGAAAACTATATTTTTGGCTTCGGTATCGATTGTAGATCACACCACAAGTATTCTTTTAAAGAAAATATTCAATGTACAGTTTTGAACTTATGTATAGATTTCTGCTTTCAGATATGGATGTGTGGTGGTACTTTAGAGATGGTTCCTTGCAGCCGAGTCGGGCACGTGTTCCGAAAGCGCAGACCGCACAGTGTCGGGGAAAAGGAGGATTATATGATGTACAACTCTATGCGAATGGCTCGTGTGTGGATGGACGAATATGTGGTATGTTAACATCTAGTTAAGAAGAGATATGAACATGATTTCAGACTTGGCGGATGGGATCTAGGCGAAAAAAGAGCAAGAATTTTCTGTCGTTAACCCCTTCGTACACTACGCTACTTAAATCTTCAATACTTGGCGACTTTGGCCTCTAAGCGACTACTGCAAATTCATAGATGTTGTAAATATGCACGCATTGCCGACATTTTGTTTTGTATTTCGGTTATTGAAGATTTGCGTAGCCTTGAGAACGAAGGGGTTTATTTTTTATACTGATGTTTTTTAATTTCGTTTCAACCGAGTGTTCCAAGACACTGACGTTTGCTCTTCACATGCAACTCATGATTTCTTTCTTAATCAGTCTCTGAAAATTATTACTAGTCCTCATGCACTTCAGAATTTATCAACCCTATGATAATATTAAAAACATAATAAAATTTACCCGTATGCCAAAGCGTCCAAAGCGGATTGGTTGGTACTTAACACCTGTAGATCAACCCGGGCTTGACTAAACTTCCGAAGAACGCAATATCAAATAGAAATAACAAAACAAATATCGCAATATCAAATAATAGATACCAAGAAAAGAAATAGCGAGCTCTAATTCGTTCTTTAGTAATTCTGCTGGCGGTTCAGCTAATTGAAAGTTTCTGTCTAAATTTACATTTACACGCTGTTTACAATTTATTTAATTGACCACAAGCTACCAATCACTTTAAATATAATCTTTGCAGCTGCGAAAACATTGTCATTAAGATTATATTCGACACCGTTTGGCGAATTTACTTAAATAAATTTACTGTGCGGGAGCTATTGGGTATATTGTTTTGCTAAGCGATCATCTATAACATAGTGATTCTGCATTTGCGATTATTTATGAATGAAAAAGTGTACTGAGTTACTGGCGACTTTTCTTCTGCTTTGTAAAGTTTAATTTTGATTTATTAATATAAAGGCAGTTATCAATATAGCCAAAGATGACTCGCTGATTACTGCCTAATTAAAATATACTAAAGCTAATTGCGCTTTTGTTTTGAATTTTTTCAAAAATCAAATCAGAAATAAATATATCTTTATTCAAATTGGATGTATAGTACATATCTTGTGAAAAGTCAAATTAAAATTTTTTTTCCTGCCACTCGTTATTGGACATATTTTTTAGCTGCGGAGAAAAACGAGCGAAAAAGCTCCACAACATTAGAAGTATAATGTAACAAAATTTACAAGTTAGTAAGTTATCAATACAATCATGATTTATTTAATATAGAAAACCTGTTGGAATGATTGGAACAGTTCAAACCCAAGCATTTTTGTCTGTAATATAATCAGACACTTTGTAATAAGCTTTTTTAACAAGTGCTTTTATTAAACAATCTTTGAATTTATTTATGGTTAACTCTTGGATATTGCTTGGGACTTTATTGTATAAGCGAACACTAAGACCTCTAAATGAATTATTGATTATGTGAAGCCTAGTAGCAGGTAAAGTTAGTTTATTTTTGTTTATTGTAATAAGTGTGTGAACATCACTGTATTTTTTAGAAACAAATGACTATTTTTTCTTGCAAGTAATAAATTTTGGTATATGTATTGTGATGTGACCGTCATTATGCCAAATTCTTAAAATTATCTCCTAAGGATTCAAGGATTTAACTTGATGATTATAAATTGATCGAATAGCTCTCTTTTGTAGCAATAATTAATCAACCGCCATTTCATTAAATAACTGCTCATTATGTTTTTAAACTGACCATAATAACATCTTGAATATTTAAATAACAGCTCAAAAAATTAGTTCCCAATTAAAAATAAGAAAGGGCCAGGGATTGAGCCCTACCGAAAAGCCATCTTAACCCGGAGACCCATTAATGTCAACCCTCTGAATCCTATCCCACAGGTATGATACAAAATGATCCAGATCGGTATCTTTAAATCCATAGTGGTGGAGTTTCCTAATTAATATTTTATGAAAAAACGCAACTAAAAGCTTTGGATAAGTAGCAAAACACACCTAGAGCGTCCTGCGAGTTCTCCCAGGCGTCAAAAATTTGTTGTATTCAACACCGGCATCAGTTGTTGAACGACCCCGTGTAAAACAAATTGTTAACAAAATCAAAATCAAAAATCTTTTATTCTATCTAGGCTGTTACAAGCACTTCTGAGAATGTCAAGAAGCTAAGCCATCGGTTTGCAAAACTACTCCGGGAGACCTTGTACTGAGAAAAACCGGCAAGAAACTCAGCAAGGGCTGTTTTTTTCTCCCTGTATTGTTATGTACTGAGTCGTCAAGTTCAAAAATTACTTCAGAGATACTTCTGAAGTCACCTTCCATTAGGTACATCATTTAGAATACAGATATACAGGGTGGCCAGGGAGTTGACGTTCAAACGTAAAATTTAGATACTTTATGATGAGGAGTATCCAAATCACCCCCATATATATTTGTTTCTTAGGTTTTCACGCACATCACTCATTAATTTTTTTTTTTTAAATTTATTTTCCTCATTATTACACATGTAAACACTATGTATACATCTGCTAAACTGTGTAACAGTTTGTCGGCAGCAGCTCTCGTTATAATATATGTATAAAAACCTATCTAGTTCAACAAAGAAATAAAAAACAAAAACACATGCACATACACACAGGCACACATAACTTACATACACACGCGCGCACACACAGTAAGATACTTTCCCTTTTTTTTTAAAACAATAACAATCCAAAATATTCTATTAAACTTTTTTAAATAGTTTACCTCTTAAAAACATTTACACACCCACGCGCACACATAATTATACATAAGTTAGGTACATAACTAGTACAGGCATACTATGATATGAATGATGACTTACACCAAAACTTGCAGATTTTATCAGTAATCTATTAACACACAAATATCTAGTTATGTATACCGTTTTTGATTTTTGTAATTTAACATTATAAATACCCGTTTAATAAACAACCCAGCTTTAACTAACCTACCACTTAAGGTTTTCCCTCTCTTTATGGACACAACGATAGGTAATGCTTGCGCAGTGTACTCTTTAAATGATTTTTGGATAATATATTTTTAAGAAGATCATATGGCAGTTCATTGAGCAAAGTAGGCGTGGACCAGCTCCTCACTCGCTTACCATAATAGTTTTTATATCTCGGAACAACAAGTAGCGGCTTCTTAGATTGACGGGTAGCGTATGTATATTCTCTTTCTTTTTTAAACTCATATTTATGATATTGTTCAGTTAAAATTGCGACCTTTACTTTTGCCTCTATTGGTAGTATTTTACAAATTTTAAATAGTTTTTCATAGTTGCCTTTGAGTTCCTTTTTTTCCTTTACTGATATTAAGAGCTTAAGTAATCTTATTTGTAGTGACTTAATTTTATTTAAATGAACAGGATATGTAAGACCGTAGGTATTTAATCCATACGACATTATTGAATCTGCTAGCGCGTAATAGAGAATATACATAATGCCCCTGGTAACGGTATATTTTATACTGTGTAATTTTCCTAGAATTGATCGTAATTTATTACAAACTACATTGACCTGCAAGTTCCAACCAAAGTGATTATCGACATTTAATCCTAAATACTTATAAGAGGACACATATTCGAGATGTTCACATTTACAGTTAAGTTTGTTATTGTGCAAGCAGTCATAACTGTGACCTTTTATGCGTATATCAATATTCTTATCTTTCGTATATGGAGAAAATATACACATACTCTTTGTTTTGTTGATATTTATGATTATACCATTGTCGTGTGCCCAACGAACTATATTGTCAAAATCCTCTTGTGTAGCTTTTTGAATATTATCTCTGTCGGTGTCACTGTATATAATGCATGTGTCATCTGCGTACATGTACGACCTGCATTTTTTGATAACATTAGGCATACTGTTAACATGCATTATATATCCAACCGGTCCATACACAGAGCCAGTAGGTACACCAGATTTTATAGTTCCCTCCCTGCTTTCCTTTCCGCATACACACACCTTAATCTTTCTCTCTCTTAAATACTCCCTAAACCATGAGTTTACTGGCCCTCTGATTCCACACTCCTGCATGGACTGCAATAATTCCTCGTGAGCAAGGGTATCAAAAGCTTTTTTGAAGTCTATGAATATAGCATAGACAATATTTTGTTCATTTAATGCATTGTTTATATCATCTGAAAACTTAGACAAAACCGTTGTTGTACTCCTCTGTGGACGAAAACCATGTTGACTCTCATTTATAATGTTATATTGTTCTAAATAAGTAGTTATTTGACTTACGATAATTTTTTCGACTATTTTATTTAATACGTTTAAAATGGCTATCGGCCTATAATTCGTGAATTCACTGTGGCAGCCTTGCTTATAGATAGGACGTATAATAGCTACTTTTAATTCCTGGGGATAAACTTCCTTTTTTATACTTAAATTAATAAAGTGAGCGATTACTGGAGAAATTTGTAATTTAATTTCTTTGATATCCTTCATTCTGATATTATCCGATCCCGACGCCTTATTGCAGTCCATACTATTAATTACTGTTATGACATCAGCTGGAGTCACCTTTTTAAATCTAAAACTTATATTAGCATCGTCTACGTACGATTTTCGGTCTAAAAATAGCTGTTGGCACTGATGCTGATTTTTAATATGTTCTATCTCTTTAGTAAAAGTGCTACAAAAACCATCACATACCTCAGTTTCGGGCTTTGTTCTTAACATGTATCGTTCAATCACACCATCTACTGACAGTTTATTGCGTCCCAACCAGCCATTCACTTGATTCCATATTTTGCGTATATCTCCTTTACAGTTATATAAGTTTAGTTTTCTGTAGTCATTCCTAGCACGATTTATAAGTTTATTTGTGTAGTTCCTATGCCTTGTATACTCTAGTCTGTAGTTATTATTTTTTGGGTTCGATTTCCATTTCCTAAAAAGTCTGTCTTTTTTTTCAATCATGTTTTGTATGTGCTTATTTACCCATGGCTGTGTGT